TTGCTTGTGTCCTCACTGGTTCAGGCTTTTCGTATCACAAAAGTGGGACACTGGAAATTACTAATAATATAACTTGTCTCAAACTAAGTATTTATTTCAATGATTTACAACAAAATTAKCAAGAAATATAGTTGAAGGCTAAGCAATATTCAGTCAAGTAACGTGATTGTTTCATAAAACAATTTTACAAAATTTAATAATAATTTAATAAAGAATCCATATCAGAAATGCTATCATCTACAAAGCACAAAAAAAATTAACAGAAAAACTCATTTGTAKGATAGCAGATGCAACACTGAGCTTCTTAGCATTCAAAAAGGGGTTGAAAAGCTGCGAGTTTGAACAGTTTTACTTAAAYATTCCAGCAACAGATGCTGTATCACACATGAGTCAACAGCAATTCAGTTGAAAAAAAAAAAAACAAAACTGCTTGGCTACAACTTTACTGTTTCTTTTTTATGYTGCCTTTAAGAAGTAGCTATTTATAACCAAATACTGCTCAATAGACAGCATGAGAGCTCCACAGAGCTGCAGTGTTTATTTCTTTATAASGTCTATACTTAGCAAGAGTATGACAAAAATATTTCATTATCACCTTTCACCATGAAAAACAGGCTATGATGTAAKTGCATCCAGAATGTAAGTAGTAAGTAAGTTAAATAAATGTAACTTGTATTTGTGTAAATCTCATTTTATATTTCGGTTTAGTGGAACTACTTGACATGACTTGGTTCAGTAAATTCAACAAATTATTTTTTGAGAGTATCTTATACCACTGAACATTTCTTTTCAATAAAACTTWCAGAAGCAAATTACTGGATGTACTTCTATATATAATCAAATTTTAGATTCAGCTTGATTCCAAATGGCTAAAGAACCTTAGCGAATACAATAATTCTGATAAATAAAAAAAACTGATGATGAAGAAACTAAGAAACTAATATGCAGTTCTGTTTTCCACTGAAGTTAGCTATTAAAAAMCCCCACTGAGCTAATGGTTGGTGTGGTAGTAGCTGAGATCGATCCCCGGCTGAGAATCTGAGCACTAACAGATCACACAGGATCGTTTTATTAAAACTATTGCTTTAACTGTTGGAGTCAACTTTGTCAGTCTGTCAGCAAAAATACCTCAWGAACCACTGAATAGATTTTATTAAAACRCTTTGAAAGTAATCACTGGGTGCACATCACAGCCAACTAATTCTGGGTACTTGGTCATCTAACCAATATATGAAATGGTTAAAATTTAAGTTATTGTGAATACTGAGCTAAAAATTGGTGAAGCAGTAGATGAGAATCATCAGCAACTMATACCCTGAGTGTAAAAAAAATTACAAGAGACAATATCTATTTTTTTGCTAAAGTGGCAAGCAATATGTCGTCCTTCAAAGAACACTAGTAAAATGTAACACAATATATACAAGATGGGATAAAGTGAGAATGCTGAGTTACATATCTGGCTGCTGCTTAGGCCTAGAAATCACCAAGATTCATGGTTTCACTTTCAGAATTACAAGCCAGGGACGTGTACTCGCAATGGTCACTCTGAAACTCAGCCAATAAACTGCGGCGGTATCATCTGGGGTCATTATATATAATATAACTGCAGACTGGAAAATTATGCAGAGGTAATATAAAGTTAGCACAGAATTAATTGAAGTTTCAGTTAATGTAATTGGGATAATTGGCCAGAGTTCTGCGAGTCTCACATGTGACTGGTGCAACTGAGAGCTCACAGCATTCTGGAGATGTCTAAATGTTTCATTTCAATAATCTGAATGGATACTTAGAGTCAGTAATGTGGCAAAATATCTTCCTATGATCCACAGTCTGGAGCCTCTTATTACGAAAATCTATGTAAGTCTCTCAACCTCAGATACTTCAAACATTACACACTTTTTATAACATTTCTTCATTGGTCAGTTTATCTCCCACTAACGAACCCTAATCCTAGAATTATAGCATGGTATTGTGTGGAACATTATWTAAAAACTTTTACCAAAAAGGTTGGTTGGATTCCTTGAAGGAATGCTATTTCTTTAATTCATGGATGGAAATATTAATGAGAATTCAACTTGTGTTTTTGAGGACACCAGTCTAAGCCTGGAGACATAAAATGCTGCCAACAGCCTCCAAAAAGGAGCAAAAAACTGCGATTACTGTTTGAGTCAGACTGCAGTATTTATTAATGGCAGTGAGAGTGCACTCCTGTGTAAGGAAAAGGGTGCTGAAAAGATAAGAAGGTGAAAAAGGCATTTACTTTGCAACAGTGCTCATGAGACCGAAGGAATCATTGCATCAGTGCTGACTTTTTWTATATATATAAATTTGTGATTTTTTAATTTGATTTTACTTTTTCCAAACGAGAGACGGACGTTTCCTCTTGAGAGCTAGTTTGTTGGTAGATGTGAATCCTGTGTTTTTTTTTGTTTGTTTGTTTGTTTGTTTGTTTGTTTGTTTTCATGGATTTTGATGACCTGCTGTGAACTTGACTCTTTTAGGAAGTGAGTCGCGGTGAGAAGCAACTCATAACCCCAAGGTTGCGTTGGCCGACCTGCAATACAGGTGGGTTCAGTAGGCCTTATGGAAAATATTGCTGTGTTACTGCTGAGTTATAAATAACTTACAGAACAAGTGGACACAATAGACTAGGTTAGTGATTCTCAATTTATTTTTTTTATGTTGTGCCCCATCATATTAAACTAGTGTGAAAAACACTTGTTTTTGAGAACATACAGATTGCAGCAGCACTTTGCTAAAACAATAACTGACTGATTCATCCATCCCAGATTATTAAAGGGATTCCCAATTACTTATAACATTAGACTTTATATGATAAACATTTACTTTACCTGTAAAATAAAGAC